TCTTCAACTCTTGAGCTTGACGAATCGATTTTCTTGGGATCTAGGATGAACCACTACATCGCCACTCCTGATGAAGCCTACTTCTACAGGGAGAAACTGTTTGAGCTGATATCAAAAGGCGTTCTGAAGATTAACATATTCAAGGAGTATCCGTTTACGCAGGAAGGTGCACAACAGGCGCAAAAGGATTTGACGGGAGGAAAGACTATTGGGAAGCTACTCATCAAGGTCGATTGATCATTGAATGTAATGTACGAATAGGAAGACGTTACTGGCTTATATTTTCTGGGATTCGAAAACAGGTGCAAGGAAGTTACAGACGATTCTGTGCGCAATGTTATCAACGACGTCGGTCTGCTTGCAGACAAGCGTGGGAACAATCATCATGTCGAATTATCTTGAATCTTCGTCTAATTTTTTACTCTTTCAACCCCAGGAATGACTGACGGTCGACTTTCATCCTCTACAACCCTCTAGTCTTGCTTTGGCAGAGTCATTGGCTGGCTGCACACTCGCGAAACCTCTCGAGAGACAAAAAAGGGATCATTTTGAGCCTTTCTCAAAGCATTGCGAACAGCAAATCCGATCCTTTATCGAAATGTAGGAAACTCGGACGAGCATGAAGGTGCCTTATGCGAGGCATCCGATTGCGCGACTGCTCGAATGTCATCTTGAAAGCTCGAAGCCCGCTTTGCAGATACTTTCAGACCTCCGACTCGCAAGGTCTTCAGGAAGTCTCCGACGATGGCCGAATATCGTCGTGAGAGTGTTGAGTATTGACGAACTAGGTCTTACAAATTCAGTAGTAAGTACCTTGGGCGATTGACTCGCGGGCTCAGTGGTGTATGAACTGTATGATTACGCTCGTTCAATGCTGATTTTCACTTACCCTTTCTCGATTAGTCTTGATTATGGACCAGGATTTGCTAGTCGACTTTCATACCCGACTGACTGTCCTGAAGTCGGCTCCTGGATTACTCCTGCTTATCCTGTTACTGTCGCCTGGGGTCCGCAAATGGCATATATAAGGGAAGGTCTACGCGAACGTTCATTTCAACCCATCTCCGCGTCCTCATACCATACCACATCCTCACATCACAGCAAGACTTATGTCTACAGAGTCTGTTCCCAACTTCAACGGTTCGAAACCAGGGTACGAAACCCAAGACAATATCTCCACCTCTTTCCCATCGACGGTTGAGGCTCTCGCGATAGCTACGACGGGAGACATCGACATGATAGAGAAAATGACTCTCCCGTTCCCAAAATTCAACCGAGGTGATCTAGTTGTGAAGGTATCTTCATTCGCTTTTGCATATGTCGATGATCTGACTGACTGAATCTATCTACTCAGATAGAATATATCGGAGTGAACTTCATCGATACATACTTTCGTCAAGGTCTATATCCTCTGGACCATTTTCCTGCTACCATTGGAGAGGAAGCAGCTGGTATCATCGTGGCTTTGCCTAGTGATCTTGAGGTGCTGGAAAACCCCAATTATAAGAGACAGGGTTTCGAAATCGGAATGAGTGTCGCTGTGGTATGTCTTGCCAACAAATTACTATCTTGACTGAATGAATCGAGCTGATGCCTCCATTTAGACCACCATGGGTACAGACCAGACATATGTCTCTATCCCCTGGTCTCGCGCCTTTCCTACCCGCGGTGTCTCAACCAGAATCGCCGCAGCGTCCATCACCCAAGTCGCTACCGCCATCACATTCATGTCCGAAGCCTACACCGTCTCACCCGACGACACCGTCTTCATCCATACCATAGCCGGGGGCTTAGGACTCATCTTCACGCAATACGCGAAACACCTCGGAGCAAGAGTCATCGGGACGACGTCTACGAGGGAGAAGGCGGAGCTGGCGCGGAGGAATGGTGCGGATGAGGTTATTTTGTACAAGGAGGAAGATGTCGTGGAGAGGGTGAAGGTGTTGACGGGGGGTAAAGGCGTGGATGTGGTCTATGATGGGGTTGGAAAGGATACGTATGTGATTTGGGATGACTTAGTACCTTGATGAAAGTGTTCTTACTTCAGTTGTAGGTTCGAGATGGATTTCGACCTCCTCAAACGAAAAGGGACACTTGTGTCTGTTGGGAATGCCTCCGGACCTGTACCTCCGTTCTCTGTTCTCAAGCTGATGCCGAAAAACATCAAGCTCGTACGACCTTCGTGAGTGGATATCATGATGTTTCTTTGCTGTTTGAGATGATATATTAAGTTCATTTCTCTCTCAGTGTAACGAACTACGTCGTCACTGCTGAGGAAGCATGGGAGATAGGAGGCAAGATCTTTAATTTGATTTCGGAAGGAGTGTTGAAGGTCAACATATACAAGGAGTATCCCTTTACTACTGAAGGAGGAAGACAGGCACAAAGAGACCTGACGAATGGAAAGACGATGGGCAAGTTGCTGATCCGAGTTGCTGAGTAGCGATGATTGTTTTCCATATGTCCAATCTACATAGAGTGTTAGAGTAATTCTGCAATCGTGCTCGAGTTGATCTTGTTGAAGAAATGTATCCATTAGGGGCTAGTTTGGGGCCAGGGCCAAGTCTCAGTCACGCGTTTGGAAGGCGTCTTTCTTTCCAACTTCCATCATTGTCAAGATACCATGTACAGTCTACCATTCTCCCAAGTTACTTCCAAGATAACACGCGGTCTCTGCAATCCTCCTAGAGGAGATCTATCATCTTTCGAATGGTTGAAGCTTACAGCACGCGCCGTGCCTGGTTTGTCCCAGGTCGTACAGGAGTCAGGGTTTTGTCTCATACAGACTGAGTCTGTTTAAAAGAAACTCGCCAGTCACGACTCAACGACTCGACTGACTCCCGTCGTTCATTCCTATCCCCCAGCTAGCAGTCACTGGGTCATGGGCCGTATCGCCATCTCACGCCCTGTCCTCTGTTTCTTGCCAATCATCGGCGTTGGTCTGCTTTCTCTGATCCTCTATTCCTCGCTCGTCTACTCTGATGCGGAAGGAAGAATTGCGTTTTCCCTTCGTTCTCCTTCGTCCTATTGCGCTGGTTTTGGGAAACAAGAGTCCGATGCAAAGCATACATTCACACCAACTACTACAACTATGACCGTGACGGTAACACCGACTCCGAAACCAGTCGAACCAGAACCTGCGTACTGCAATTATTGTACTTCCACCGATGAAGTTTGCAAGCGATATGGGTGAGTCTTCCTACTCTATGAGCTCGGATCATGTAACTCATTTGCGACGCCTCAGCTCTTTCAATCTCGCTCGTTCGCGTGCATACGAAGGCTCCAATGCACGCCTTAAGCGTGTTCTTCGTAAACTCCGTTCTGGACAGAAGATCAAGATTGGGATTGTAGGCGGCTCTGTCTCCAAAGGCCATGGACTACAAAGTCGGCGCGATAACTATTCCTACATCTATGCTCAATACGTCCGAGAGATGTTCGCCGAAGCTACTTCTTCCAACGCTACTAACGTCGAGGTCGAGCTCATCAACGGTTCTGTCTCTGGAACGATCACGCAGTATATGGAGACTTGTTTCCGAGAGCATATTCCGGAAGATGTTGATTTGGTGATCATCGAGTTAGCTATCAACGATCAACGTCTGGAGTATCTCGCTCAGGGATATGAACATCTGATTCGGTCCATTTTCGCGTTACCACAGAGGCCTGCGGTCATCAGCGTACAGGTGTGTTGGTTGTCTATCCTCAGGTGTATAGGTGTCTGATCGCTGTATGTAGGTTATGGCTTTGATGTTTCCAACGATCACGATGGGTGGTGACCTTCACACTGCTGTTGCCGAGTACTATGATACCTCCATTATCAGGTATGTACTTCGTTCCTCGGACTATCTTTGAATCTCATTCTTGCCATTCCAGTATTCGCAACGTTCTTCTTCCACATATCCTACGCTCCACTCAACAGAAACCCTCCGATAACTCTCTCGAGGATTACTGGTTCGGTCATGACATAGTCGGAGGTATCGACCTTCGACATGTTGGCAAAAATGGTCACCGTATGCTGGCCGACCTTCTTTATTCTTACACCTCTCGTGTCGCTTGCGAAGGTTGGCGTGAAGACCAACTCGTCGGAACGTTGAGTGAGAATTCTCACATCGTGGGCGGTTGGGACTGGGATCCATACGAGAGCGATCACAGTGAAGGACCTTCCTCGAGTCTTCCTAACCCCAACGAAGGAGAAGACATATCTGAATACGTCCCTCGACAACTACTTTTCCAGAAATTCGACCACACCACCGTCGTTCAACCTGCCGTGCCTTTCTGTCGGACAACAAACACACTCGTCGGTATGGCGGCGTTCTCGACCTATGCTCATCTCCTTCAGCCGATGCCAGCGCCGTTCTCGACTGAAGGACCTGATGGATTCACTATGTGGAGTCATCAGTCCAATCCTGGGAAGGTATGGCTTATGGGACGGAAGCCTGGTTCGAGGGTTGCGTTCAAGGTCCAGACTAGCGCGTTGGGAAGGGTCAGGGTGACGTATTTGAGAAGCGGAAGTTGGGGATTGGGAAGTGCATTGTGCTGGATTGATGATGATAAAGAGAATGGTAAGAGGCTGGATGGGTATTGGACGTACAAGAATGCGTATGTGGATTTCACGACTGTCTTTGTTCGAATATCATACTGAAGCACTTGCATTTCCGTTCCTTCTAGCCATGTAGCAAAGTAAGTCTTGTCACTGTTTCCCCTTAGATTTTTTGCTCATCACCTTGCTTGATATTCTCCTCACGAAGTACGCACGTTATTGTCGAAAAGGCAATGCCCGGCGAACACATTCTCTATTGCGAGATTTTGGAAGACACGAAAGAGCCTGGGGGTGCAACAGAGTTTAGGATTGCAGCTGTTGATGCGCTGTGAGATGGACTTGTATGTACTTATTGAATTTCTTGACATTGGATGTAGTGCCCGTTTGTTAACAGGCTCAGTTTGACGGTGCTCTCACTACACGGTACTCCCATGACACAACGCTATTTGTCGTGATAAATATGACACCGTTGGTGAAGTGGTTATCATGCTTGCCTTCCATCGTCCTTGTAAAAGATGTCTGTTAGCAAGCGGCTCGGGTTCGATTCCCGAACGGTGTATCATGCTTTTTTTGTCGTTCTGATCGACAGGACTATCCATTCTTCGAGACTCGAGTTCAAATCTTCGAGTAACTTGTCTCGTTCAAGACTTTTGTAGACTTGAGATAGTCGTCTGGCTGGTCCCCTCCCTCATAGGGAACACCGTCGCCGTCGCTCTTGTCGGTCTTTTCTTTGGGCCCATGTTTCCAGTTGCTCTGAGCGCCTCTCGTAAGGTGATCCTGCGGTGGATCTACACTGGAGCCATCGGCTGGAATACTGGATTTGGACAGGCAGGAAGTGCTGCGCTGCCTTTTTTGACTGGTGCTCTGGCCGACGCTGTGGGGATCAGCAGCTTGCAACCTCTGTAAGTACCGACTGGATTCATGTGTTGAACACACTACTCACTAGATGCCCTTCAGATTGGTGGGCATGATGTCTACCATGATTGCGTTATGGCTGCTTGTACCCAGACCAGTTAGACTGGATTGGATGATTTGGCTTAGGTTAGGAAGTTCATGAGCCACCAGGTCCCAGCTTTGTTCATTCTATATGCAAGTCCGAATCAAGCGAATACATGCATGAGGTATGGTATGGTATGTAATGTAGGTTTGAACGACTCAGCCGTTTTCAACATATTAGGACGAGATGGAAAGCACTCCGATATTCATACTACATATTCCCAAGTGACACCGTGGAGGCGACCCACAGCCGGATCTGCCAGGACACTGAACGCAGCCAAGCTGAAGTCTAGGTCATCTTCTCCCGCACATCCAGCGCATCGATCAACGATTTTGACTGTCACTTTGTGTTTGCCATCTATGAATACGAGATGTGGGTAAGAGGTGCTTCTAGGCAGACAGAGGAATGATATCGAGACATACAAGAGGCGGTGACTTTCTTCGAGTCGGGGTTCGATTGTTATAACTCGATAAGGTTCCGAAAGATCCGGATCAAGGCCCCGGTCGGAACTACCGGAGGCCAGGCCGGAGATCCTACTATCTACGGACTGAGTGACTATTTGTACAACCTATGTGACTACTACGTGACCAAATTAGTTCATCTCTGACTCCGCGGACCACTACATCCATTTGCAAAGTCTCTACATAATAACCATAGGTAAGTAAAGGAATTATCATTCCATTGCCCGTTACGCACCTCGATTGCTACACAAGTCAGTTGGCAAATCCACTTTGACGGAACTGGACAAGACTGATGAGAGCTTAGCGGGGTAAATGAATGTTGAAGGGGGATAGTTTTCCACTCAGCTTCTTGCCTGCGCCTTATAAGTGTTCAAAAGATGCTGACTTCTTTCCTGTCAGGGAACTTGAGTCAGAAGGTCCCGTCATCTTCGACAGCAAATTCTTATTATGAGTTTCAAGAAGAAACGGTAACCAGCTTTCAAACTTAGTGGCATTGTGATGTAAAGGATGCTTTTGAAACCTGTAAGCGCAAACATCTAGGCTTTGAAGAACAGTGTCGATGGGCTTTGTAAGTGAATCCAAGGAGTTTTCAGGCTCTGACTTCGGAAAGAACTGAAGTTTTATAAAATGAGTGGATTGTGTTGAATATTTTCGAAGGCAACACTATTGCCATGCTGCCTTGGGATCAGCTCCTCAACCCTCTCCCCAGTACCGTCTCTGGAACTGACGATCCCTTGCAGACTCCTTTGGCTATATCCAAAACCCGCAATGTCAAGATCAATCGACAGACTACTGTGGAAGAACTCTATCATTACACGCAGAATACCAAGATTGAGTATCCAAAGACAGCAGCAGATGGAAAGGCCATTGGACATCTTTTCGATATGGACAATACTCAAGCATGGATATCACCTTCTCGGTCCTTTGCATACTCTCTTGGAGAACCCCGAGGCCTTACTCGAAATGTCTATACTGATGTTCTGGTTAACTCCGATGGTGAAAAAGTACCATGCAACGTACTTTACTCTACTTGTGCGCTCGAATCTGATTTGATTTATTGGTACATGTCTACAACTGACTGTGTATGATTCAGGTCAGGGAGTAAAGATATGTCCCTACCTCGCGTCATCTCTCAAAGAGCAGACACATACTTCTGGCTCTCGTGATCAATGCACATTTGATCTTGAATGCGAGCAGCGGGAAAGGACTACTTCACTCGACCGTGATCTATTAGAGAAGACCCTAAATTATTGGGCATATCTCCGAGATAATGGATGTGGACGGGAGCTTCAGCAAACTACTCACTACGCAGACCATGAACTTGATCACTACAACGTAGTTCATGCCAGCCCTCGGAAGAAAAAGAGGGGTCATCAGCCTAAGCCAACCTGTGAAGGAAGAATTGTACTGAGGTATACGTCAAATGAACGGCCATATCTCTGGTAAGAAATACACCTGGGCATAGCACCATCTGTCTCACAAATATTTTCTTAAGTTGCGAACATTTTAACAAGCAAACCTCCAGGAATCATTTCTGCGATTTCTCACTTGCAAATGATATCTTTCATTCTGAATATCTCTTAGCATTATGCACTGGAGACATGGATAATGTATATCATTGGGAGAAAGCTGCATCGGATGATGGCTACGGACCCCTTGCTCCATGTAGCACAGTCCGGAATAATACTACAGTCAGGGTTGATTGTCGTGAGTCAACTTTTGCATTCGAGGTCTCACAGTGATAACTGAGAATCAATCAGCAATCCAGCATCGTACTTCAGAGGGCTCAATGCTTATGACAGAGATGGAAAGTCTCAGTTGTCGGAGTACCTTCCGCGTGTATGAGCCTCTAGAAGAGTTTCGCCAGATGTGTCCCCGGATTCTGGTGGTTTGCAGTGGCGAACATACTCATCCCATTCCACTATCAACTAAAACGCCCCCCAACATACGTGCTGAAATACTAGATCTTCTTGAATTCTCCATGACGAGGGAGCTGGCTGACATGACGCCTCGAAGATTTCTTCGGCATCCAATCGTTCTGTCTTATATTCGTCAAAAAGTCCCTTTCATATCTCAGCCTCAACTCTCCGATGTGCACCCCTCTCTTAACAATATGGATCACCTGCGTGCATACATCACTCATGTTCAAGATAAAGTTTTTCCTGTAGGAACAGGATGGGAGGGTAAGTTCCGACTTTTATAGCTGAATAGGTGGTTGACCTCAGCAAAGGTTTATTGAGACGCAAAGAGCTCCAGGATAGAGAAAGACCTTTGGGAGAGAGATATATTCGACTAATGGAAGAACTGTCTCTCCCCAATTTACACATGCTTGCTGGTGATGACGGAGATGATGAAGAAGAAGACAGTCAATTCCGTATTGCAATCTGCATGTTCCCGCAACGGAGTCATGATCTACTCAAAGCGCGCTTCATTCAAAGTGATATCTCATATAAACGGGTTGCTGGTTTCAAAGAACTTGAGCTCGTTGGATGGGATGAGCAAAGTAAAACCAGTAAGTACATATATATATTGAACTTTGACTGTGAGGGTCTTGATATGCATTACCTTTAGCAATTGTTTTTTGCCGGGCTTATATGACTCGAGAATCTGCTGCAGCACATCTCATTTTCTTTAGGCGTCTGGATGACATCGTTCACAAGGATACTGGTCACTGGCTTTCATTTAGACATCTACATGCAAATTCGTTGCAAGATAGGTCTGGAATTCTTCACTGGGCTATTGATCAAGGTCGAGGGCCTGCAAAAGGTATGCCTTGATATGTTCCTGTTGCAAAGAAGAATAACTGTTCGACGTGGTGTAGGAATGGCATTGTACCTTCATGAGTTGGCTTCCAGACTTCCGCACTCCAAAAAAGATCTTCATGAACCAGACCGATATCTGCATCAACTTGAACCCTATGACCATCTTCACCGAATTGCACGGCTCTGTACTGCCCATATCAACCGAAATATAGCAAAATCCAAAGTGCCTGAACATATCAAAGTCAAAATGCGAAGCTTGATGTGCATTAAGCATCCAGACTGGGAGAGGACCATACAGGAGATTGAGCAAAGCAGCAAAGCAGGAAAAGGTATGTTGTGTGGTCTGTTATATTGATCCAGGATAATCTCGCAAAGTCTAGATTGGATCCTGGATAAAATATCAAGCAAATTCGCATTTCCGGGGATGTGCCAGGAGAAAAGTTTCATACCTCTTGACATATGGAAAGCCGGCCCTGCCACTACTGACCTTGTTGAAAGTGCCCACTGGAACTCTTATCTCGAAGGGGTTGGGTGTTCATTGACTAGTGGAGTGGAAAAGGCTGAACATGTTGATCAATTGCGTCTGACGTCTGCCCAGGTATCAGTAACTATTCCTGACAATTTGCGTGTTGCTGATTGCATCAAATACTTTCTATAGACATATATGGCTACAGGCATATACTCAAGCAATACTCCAACCGATGGGCTTCATAGTACATCAATGAGTATGCGGCGCAAGGGTTGGTACTCTTGTTTTCTAATATTCAAGTAGATGATGATAACTTACTCGAACTAGCTAAACGGGAATCAAAGAGGTTGGCTCGAGAGGACAAGCAAATTGACATGCAAAATGAAAAACTCAGCAAAGCTCATAAACGTGTTGAAAAGGCAGTAACTCAACTGCAAAAAATTCCAAGCAGTGATGTAGCAGCTGTGACACGTGCAGAACAAATGGTGCACAAAGCAGAGGCATGTTATCGAAAGGTGGCCAATCAGGCTGAAGTGATTGCTCAGAAGGCTCAAGGATCGGGTTCTGTAAATTTGACATTGCCAATTTGATTGCACTATCATATACTTTATCATATACTTTGTATGCCAAGAGAAGCAAAGCAATCTAGCTATATGAATAGAGACCCTCTGCCTGAGTCCACTGATAGTCTACGACTTCCCAATTCCCACTCTTGCTCCCAAGAGAGGTAGAGGCATAGGAACCAACAAGGGGTATCAGTATTGAATTACAAGGGGGAGAAATTGTCTGTGGTACTGCTCCACCACGGGGACCAAATAACGGTGGTTCACGTTTTGCGGTGCATGTGATCACCAGGAACTTTTCGCCGTT